AAAATAATGAAAAGGAAAGCCATGCACTGGGAAAAAAATATTTGCAAAGCATATGTCTAATAAAGAAATGGTATACAGAAAATACAAAGAACTCAGAACAGTAAGACAAATGACCCAATTAAACATGGACAAAATACTTGAATAGAAAATTCACTACATATGTTATACAAATAAAAAGTACATGAAAAAAATATTAAAGAGTTAGTGAGAAAAATGCATAACAAAACACCATACCACAACACAACCATTTAAACGAGAATGGTTTAAAATATTTTTAAAAAACCGATAAGCGCTGGTGAGAATATAGAGTAGCTGGAATTCAGATACTGCAGAGGAAGTTCAAATTGTATGCAACCTGAAAAACAGAGTAACAGTTCCTTTTCAAAGGAAACCCACTCTCTTACAACCCCCTAATTCTACTCACAGACATGCATCTCAGAGAAGGAAACTCACATCCCCACAAAGTCTCTTCATAAGAGGAGCTTTATTCACTAAGAGCTATAGCAGCTTTATTCATTATAGATAAAAACTGAAAACAACCCAGGTGTCCATCAACTGCAGGATGAATCAAACTCCGAAATAAAAAGGAATGAACTAATAATATGACAAAATAATACTCCACTGATTCAAAGCCCATTGTATAAAAATACATAAAATGTAAGTGACCAATTCCCTGTTTAAATCATAGTATCTATATACTTCTGTGTGATACTTTGTCCCATAAACTATTAGGTTCTGGGGGTGCGAAGGAACAAATTAATGATGTATGCAAGAGAATGGGTGAGTTTTAAATCATCAAGTTAGAAGGAAGAAGCTGAACTTTAGGTAAAGACTATGTACCTACACACTGCTCTGCCACTCACTTGTGTCCGACTCTCTGCAGCCCCATGGACTACAGCCTGCCAGGCTCCTCTGCCCATGACGTTTTCCAAGCAAGAATGCTGAAGTGGATACTCCAAGGGATCTCTCCAAGCCAGGGATCGAACCCACATCTTTTGCATCTCCTGCATTGGCAGATGGGTTCTTTGCCATCTGGGAAGCCCACCTACACACTACATGATTCTACTTAAATGACAGTTTTTAAAAGGCAAAGTAGAGCTAAAGAAAGTGGTTGCCAGAGGTCAGCTAGGAATAGGGAAGAGGTATTAATTTACGCCCCAAAAAGAAACCCAGCTCTGGAGGTGATAAAAATGTTCTGATTGTGCTGCTGGTTCAATCCATGTTGTTTCTGTACACTTAAAATCAGTAATTTCATAGGTTATAACTCACTGTTATGGACTAAATGTGTCCCACTCCCAAAATCTGTTAAGTTGAAACACTAACCTCTTGTGTGGTGGTATTAGGAGGTGGTGCCTTTGGGAAGTAATTAGGTTTAGATGAGGTCATGAGGGTGGAGCCCCATGTGGGGATTAGTGCCCTTATAAGAAGAACAGACATTGGGGCTTGCTCTGTCTTTGTCAGATGAGGATAAACTAAGTATGTGGCCATATGCAAGCCAGAAAGAAGACTTGCTCACCAGGAACTGAAAAGGCTAGCACCTTGATTGTAGACTTCTCAGTCTCTAAAACTGTAAGAAATAAATAAGCATTGCTTAGGCCACCCAGTCTATGATATTGTTATAGCAGTCCTAGAAGACTAAGACATCCATTGAAGTTTATTTTAAAATTAATAAATAAGTGGACAAACAAAAGTTATGTCTTGACCTCAAATTACTGGGAATGTGGAATAACATTTCTTTAATGTACACTTAAAACTGCTTAAGTAAAACTGAAAATGCTCTTGTTGTGGTCAAAAAGGTCTACTGGGGATGAAGCATGTAACAAAGGCTACCCAGGAAGACCTGGACCATGAATTTGAGGGAACACATTAAAGTATTAGGCCGCAGTTCAGCAGTGGTGGCATAGGAGAGAGAGCTAGCAATGTTATCCTGCTATACAGCACAGCAGCCAAGACTGAGGCAAATTTCCCCGTTCGTAATTCCTTCTACGTCCATCTGCCAAGAAAAACTGAACAGCAGCAGCACCAGCTGTTCCTGTTGCTCCACAGATTGCAGGCCTTGTTTCCCGAATTAACATCTCACCGACGCTTACCCACGGAGTTTACAGAAGACAGGAACTAAGTCAAGGTGGGGTCTGGGAAGAGGAGAAAGTAACAAGGAAGTAGGATCACAAATCATGGAGCAGACAGCAAGGAGCTGCCTGTCTGAAGGACGAGCAGCACTCTGCTGAGGAACTGGCACGAGGTCAATCTGCACAAGCAGACGGGGACGGGGAGTAAAAGTGCAGTAAGACTGTGGTTAGTACGCTGCCTCTCCCATTTCAGAAGAGAAAGGGAGAAACTGAAGAGTAAAATGATAAAGCATTACTAACGCCGTCCATATGCCAAGCAACAAACTCAATGTACTGCATCTCATCAGACAGATGCTCGAGGGTAATGGACGAAATGAATTGTATCCACGGCAGGTATTGCCGTAAATATGAAGATGACAGTTCTTTCTGTCTTCCTAAGAAAAGCACCTTGTTTTTTCTGGAGTCTCCTTTGTTCTGTTTTGAAAATTATATCCCTCAGTCCACATTCCTTTGGTTCCTGGAGCAGAAATGCTTTCCTGTAGCTAGCGGCTACTCTAAGGGCCAGCATATTCCAAAGTCACCTGCTGAATATGTGAACTAAAAGCTCTTGAAAGGGTAAATTCTGTTGGGAAGATGAAAAAAGGAAACCCACTTCTTCTCCTTTCTCTTACTCACCCCCTCCTTTCTCTATTTTCCACTAACTTCCGTCTCCTGGTTTGGGGCCCACCACAGACACACAGAGCAGATAGGAATAATCCCCGGGCTGTCGTATCAATAGATGACAGTACAATGAGGGACTCATTTGAAAAAAAATGTCCATCTCAATATCCTCTAAAGTAATCCACTATAAACAAAGAACATGACGGACACAATGTACATTACTCCATGTCGTATCACTTGGTAGAGGTGGGGTAGAGGGATCTAACCAATCTCTTGGTTTTAATCTTGAATATAAAAGTTTAAAGCAACTATTGGTATTCCATAATATGGTTTCTGGAAGTTATAGGTGAAAAGTTTTTTTTTTTTTAATTTACCCTATTCAATTTATATTCACAATTTTTTAAATGAGAAATATGTGGCTTTATTCTGTACAACGTTAGAAGGTGAATATTCAATTTGCTGTGGAAAGACAAATGAAAATTAATAAAAGGTATAGAAGAATAATTAAAATGATGGCTAAATATATAAATGAGAAATGTATATATCTCCTCTTCCCTATGAAACATAAAATTTTTTAAATTATAATTCAAGTAATTCATGCATTTACTATTTAAAAGATAAACGGATATAAACAACTAACTTTAGTTTATAAGATACAATAGACACTTCCTCAGTTATCAAACAATAAATGTAATTATCAAGAGTTTTACTGCCAACAAATTATTTGGGCTTGAGGGTCACTGTCAGTGAGCCTTAATTTTCTTAGCTGCATTCTAAAATGATCCTGATTTTTATAACATCTAAAAATTCAGTGTTTTTCCTTTAAAAATAGAAAACAATAAACTTAAAATAAATTTATAAATAATATATATAAATTATAAAGCTCTGCAATCAACATCTGAAAATAAAACAAATATATATGCATAGTGACATGGTTCAGACGTTTTGTTTCCTGTCCCCATGAGGGCATTGATTTCATTGGTTTTATTCTGCAGTGTTCCTAAGGGCTTCAAAATGTTTATGTATTCTACTGCTGGAGCAAATAGTAAATGCCGTTTTCAATTATTCATATCCAAGATAAATTTTTCTTGAGACAAGATTATGGGAATCTTTTGAAAATTAACCTTAGGAAAATAAATTTAAATTCTCCCTCACAAAATCATCATAAATATAGTTTCAGGAAGGTAGAATACAATCACAATTAACAGAGTAAAATATTGCTGATAGCTTGATGTGTAAGATCAGGCTATCAGAGTTTAAATCCTACTCTACCGCTTCTTCCTAGTAATATAATCTTGAAGTTGTTCAAACTTTCAAACTCTGCATTAGTTTTCCCTTCAGTTAAATGAAAGGAAACAGAACCTCAGCAATTAATTGCATTCTTGTGAGTAGGAAATGATAAAGGCATAAAGTAGGTGGAAGAGTACATTGTTGTTGTTGCTTACTTGTCAAGTCGTGTCCGACTCTTTTGCAACCCCATGGAATGTAGCCCACCAGGCTCTTCTGTCCATGGAGTTTCCCAGGCAAGAATATTGCAGTGGGTTGCCATGTCCTTCTCCAGGGGATCTTCCTGACTCAGGGACTGAACTCGTGTCTCCTGCATTGGCAAGTGGATTCTTTGCCACTGAGCCACCTGGGAAGCCCAGAAGCGTACACCACACGGCACAAACATGAATGAATGTCAGCTATTTAGTTTTGAACAAATTTTTATGAAATGATTACTGTGCTCTGGGCACTGTTCCAGTTGCCTGAGACACAGTAGTAAACATGAGATTAAAATTACTTCCCTTACAACTGATTCACTTTGTTGCACAGCAGAAACTAACGCAACACTGTAAACCATCTGTATTCTAATAAAAATCAGTTTAAATAAGATACTCCAAAGGCAAACAAATTTAAAAAATAAAATGGCTTCCTTCAAGACGATTACATTCTAATGGGAAGATGAACAATAAACAGTGTACAAAATACATATACTGTTTATGAAAAGTATCAGAGAGAGACGAAATCTGAGTGGCAGAAGCAATTTCAGATAGGATGCTAGGGAAATATGGCTGAAAATGTGGCGTATGTGCAAAAGAACTTACAGGAAACGAGAGAGCAAAGTATGAAGTCTCCTCCAGGAAGACAGTCTTCCAAGCAGAGGAAACTGCAGTGTGGAGGCCATGTGCAGAAAGTGGGTGAGGCCTGCGAGAGGGACAAGCAGACGGATCAGTGTGCCTGGCATGGACTGAGCACTGCGTGTGTAGCACACGCCGCCAGACGGCTGAGATGGGGCGTGGGCGGCAGTGGGCGGCACAGGGAGAGGGCACTGCGGGTAACGCTCACGCAGCAGCTTGTACTAGAAACGGGGAGCACTGGGCGAGCGGGGAGTGTGGCTTAAGCAGCGATGGGGCACAATCTGACTTGCAGTTTACCAAGATTCCTGTAGCTAATAATAAACGACAGTGTCCTCTGGCCATCATTCCCAACGCAACTCTCTAACCCAGTTAAGGAACTGCTTCACTTCATTCTCTTCTGAAACGTTCAGGGCTAATGATAAAGAGTTCCGCATCACTGTAACCACCCACACTTCAGAAGAGAACTTCCCTTTCACACACATTTGGACACCCTAATCTCTACTTGTGACTACACCCATCACCGTTTGGAAGCACAATTTACAGAATGTTAAGATTATGAAAAGTGTACACACTTTGTAGTATCCAAACGAGAATGTGAAAGGACTCAGAGAAAATATTCTCTCAGCCTTGTAGAGAACACTAGGGCAGCCTTTGTGGTTTTTTCCTAGTAACCTCGACAGCTCAGTGGTAACTCGATGTCCCTGTTCCTCCAGCTGACAGGTTATAAATATTCAAGGAAACAGCGAGGGCTTCCGCCAGCGTGGGACGCCCGGTGGCAGGCACACCACCAAGCCAGCGCCCCTTCTGTTTCTCACACGCGCTAAAGCATCAGGAAGCAGCAAAGTCAATCAGCCAACAGCTCGCGGTGCTTTCGTTTCAAGCCTGCAGAGCATTTAAACTTTCCGAGGAGAGAGGATTGTCTCTGGCTCCAGTTCCTACCCTCTTAAAGCCAGCTGTCCTCCAGCCACTCTCCATCCTCCATGAGGCGCCCAGCTCAGCGAATTCCACTTCCCCCTAAAGGCCAGTCAGAACTGCTGGGAAAGGCAAGCACTTCAAAGTAACACAGAGGTCTGGTCAGTGTTCACATCACTTCAGAAAGCACTTGCTGCTCAGAGATAAGGAGGGAAGTGGCAGAGGCCCTGAGAGCTTACAGCATCACTGCGCTGCTCCCACCTGCCTTTCTGTTTCACCCAGAAACTTGAGTCATTTGGAAGGCACACTTCTTGAACAGTTGAACACAAATAACAACTGGCTGGAAAACAGAACAGAAATCTTCGCTATTGTGACTCAGAAGGGTGGGAACATGCCTGTGAAACAGATGTAATACCAAAGACTTGTGACTGCTGAGTCTTGAAAATCTAGTGTTTTCTGACTGCCAATTGTGTAATTGTCTGGCAGGACCGAACTCCAAACTATTTTCTCAATATTACAGAACACCTTTCTTTTTCCCCTTTACCTTCACTGTGAATGAAGATTTCCCTTTTCCACAATCCCAAATTGTGATTCAATGATTACAGTTAACTCTGAGATGATTTCCTCAACAGTGCTTTGCTAAGTTGTTTGACTCTTTGTGATCCTACGGACGTAGCCCTCCCAGCTCCTCTGTCCATGGGATTCTCCAGGCAAGAATACTGGAGTGGGTTGCCATGCCCTCCTCCAGGGGATCTTCCCAACCCAGGGGTCAAAGCGACGTCTCACGTCTCCTGCAACGGCAGGCGGGTTCTTTACTACTAGCACCACCTGGGAAGCCCCTCCTCAGTGGGCAGAGGAACTAACTGAACTGGTGGAGATTCTCTCTGGGTAGAGACTGGCACAGGAATCCAGCTGCTCCCTTTCGTTTCAAAGAATAAACACAGCTTACTTCACCTCAGATCATATACTGTAAGCAATGATATACATACATTCCCTTTCCAAAGACATTCAGTAAGGAGAACATTCATGTGTTATATGTGGGTTGACACTTTCTTGGGATATAGCTACACAAACCAATCCACTAAGAATATACAATCACTTCTAAGTTAGTGGTGCAATAAAGTTAAATCATCATCATTCACTTAAAAATTCAGTAACAGTCCCAAACGAAGAGACAGGTGGCATTAAACAACTTCTGCTTTTATTAAATTACTATCATAAGCAAAACTATTTTCTTTTTTAAGGTATCTGTTCTCTATCTTCATAATCTTCCTGCAAATCATCCCACACTTATCAAGCCACATAAAGCTTACACAACCCATATTCATCCACATCTAAATAATACGGGCTTGCCTGACAGGCACACGAAATGCTAATCAAATAATAAAGAGGCACCCCTTTTTTATGAATAAAGTGACACCTAGCCTTTCTCCTCCCTTGCCACTTTCTCAAAGGCCTCTCCTTCACCAGACTATCACATCTACCTTTTTTTTTAAACTTCCCATCAATGATCATCATTGATAATTGACAACCATCATTTCTGATGACCTGGACTATTCAAAGACAAAAATATGTTATTTTAATATCATTTTAATTCATGGATAATATGATATAACAATATACTGATATGCATTAAGAACAATGTGACCTAGTTTTCTAAAAATTTATAGTCAATTAATAAACAAAGTATGATGTCCCTTTCTTCAGTATCACCTTATCCCTGGCCCTGTCTCATTCTGCCACTCTAAGTCTTCTATTATCAAATCCTAAAGTTCCTACTCCACCCATCCACAGTTCTAACTCTCAACCCACTCACAGCCCTATTCTACCTATGATTCTATCACTCATCCTCTCCTAACTGATCAAAATGGCAACTTCCATTAGGCTGAAATCTCTACTTTTGTGCTAAATGGGCATATCATAGGCAGAATAATCATTAATATGCCATCTTTTACAATGGGGTGGCCCAGTTACATCTTAAGATATCATATATTCATAATTATAGCATAAAAGAACTTCAGAATCAAAAAGATTGTGGCAATCACTTAAGACTATTATTTTTTTGTATTTGCCTTTTTATGGACATCTATGCATCAGTTCAATCAGTCAAAATCCTTAGCTTGTGACACAGTCTATTTGTCCATGAAAGGTCCGTAATGTACATAATTTTATTCTTTCCTCCATTCCTGGTATCATTCCCATTCCTTTCATTCTCATTGGATACCCACTACAGTACATGCCATTGACTATTTCTGTATGTTTGAAAAAATAATAGAATTTTACGGGATTTAAATGTGCACAAAACTACAGGTTTATAATACTAATACTTTTATGTTTTCTTTTCATTCTACACTTGTAAAGTATGTTGCTATAAATATATCTCATTCAATGCTTCTAACAGTGGAATAGTATTCCATGGGGTGTGTGTGTGTGTGTATATATATATATATATATAAAATCATGCTTTAGTTTTTTATTCTGCTAGTGAAAAACAACTAGTATTCTCCATCTGTCTACCATAATAAACATGTGTAGAATTATTATTCAAATAAGACATTTCTAGGGGGGTTATTTATAAATGGACTATTTTAAAAAGACGAACATGGGATTAAGGGGAACCACAAGAGGTGTTTCAGTAGCCCAAGGCAGAAGCAGGAAAGCTCTACAACCGATAGGTTGAAAAGAATAAGTGCAGGGAGTTATTACTGAACCTGAAAAAGGGAAGAGCTATGCTGAATCTACAACCAGAGAGGAGCGGGGATCTGGGGTGGAGGAACAGAGCAGTTCAAGCTGCTTGTTTGGGTCTCTGAGGTTCTATTCATTTTTCTTCACTCTTTTTTTCTCTGTTCCTTACACTAGATAATCTCCAACTGAACTACATTGAGGACTGCTGGGTCTTCTGCCAGCTCAAATCTGCTGTTGAGCCCTCTAGTGAAATTTTCATTTCAGTGATTACAGATTTCAACTCCAATGTTTTTACTTGTTTTTGTTTTTAATGACTTCTATTTCTTTACTGATGTTCTCTCTTTAGTGAGACATCATTCTCATATGTTCTTTTAGTTCTTTAGAGATGGCTGCCTTTAGTTCTTTGAACATACTAAAAATAGCTGATAAGGTTTTTCTAGGAAATCCAATGTCTGGACTTCCTTGGGGACCGTTTCATTCTATTCCTTGTTTTTATTTTCCCTCCAGCATATGGACCATACCTTCTTGCTTCTTACAAGTCTTTTAATTTTTCTAATTGAAATCTAGACACTTTAAATCACATAATGCGACCATTCAGACCCCACCTGCCCTCAGCGTCAGGCACGTGTTGTCTGTTGTCACTGCTGCTGCTGTTTGTTCAGTGACTTTGTTGAACTCATTTTGTAAAGGACATATTTCTAGTAGCCAGTTAGTACTTAAGTCTCTGTTTGATCAGTTTAATTACCTAATGATTAAACAGAGATGTCCTTAAATACCTTGCAGCATTTCACCCAAGGACTACGCTTGTATGTTGTGGCACATAGTGATGCAAAATTCTATTCTGCTTTAGTCTTTACTTTATGCGTGCTCAGAGCTTCAAGATCCATCAAAGATGAGATTCAGAGACTTCTCAGGTCTTTCTTGGACATACACACAGTCATATATATGCATGCAGCCTTCTAGATTCCCAAGATTACTTCAAGGCTTTCAAAAGCCTTTTCTGGGCATCGCGTTACCCAATGTGTCCTTTTAAGTTTTTTGGTCGCTTCTTGTTGATCCCAACATTTATCACTGTTTAGGGAGCTTCAAGATTTAAAAATTACGACTGTTTTCAACCAATACTTCAAGGAAAAAGCCATTCACAATGATTGAGCTCTATATCGGGTTAAGTAAAAAGAGCCCTGCAAGTGGAGATTTCCAAGGAACTGCCAGACCAATGTGACAACGACAACTCTCCGAGAATGAAGCTCCTACAGAGTCTCAGATTTTCCCTGCTCCCTTCAATGAATGCTTGGCTACAGGAGGTTCTCACAATGACTAACACTGTGAAAACTCCGCAGAACTGGAAAGGAGGAGATGGTACTACAGCAAGGCAAAATGCCAGATCACTGTTTCTTCTGCTGTGTAGCCTTTTTTTCCCCAATAAATGCTCCTTAGATGTTTACAAGCCTTCGGTTAATTTCCAAAGTTCTGAAAAGTTGACTTTGATCATTTTTACCAATGCTCTCACTGCATTAACATACAAGAGGCTTTTCAGAGCTCCTTATTCTACAATCCTCACTGATGTCACTATTGGTTAAATTTTCAGTTTGGAATATACACATATATTTAATCTTCCATCCATCATTTTTCTAAGGTATACTTTTACGAAATATGCTATGTTTACACTCCTATAGATCAACTGTGAATTTTCCCCACCTTGCTTTGTGACCCAAGAAACAGACCTGGATGGACTGCTTCAGTGAGACTATTCTGCCTGCTTTCCAG